AAAGTCTGCAGCAGGCACGGGTGTCTGAAAACACACTTCAGATAAGGCATTCTGAGGTGTTTTATTCACGTACACAATCATTTCCCCCTTCTTTAGTTTCCTTTCCTAACTAGCAAGCCATGCTAAATAATGTCCACTCTGCAGGAGGGAAGCAGGTGTTTCAGAGTGTTTTGTGGATACAAAGAAATTAAGAAATACAAAAATGCAGGAGCTAAGGACAGGAAGAATTAATGGGAGAGGCACTACTAACACTGCGGGACCTTTTACTCTCCAAGTCCTTATGGCCAACATATTGGGGTAAAACATGTATTGGTGAGATTTTCACCAATCTTTGGTGGTTGAAATGCGTCCTCTAATGAGCACATTAGGACAAAACTCCAGTACTTGTTTCCAAGAAAATGCTTTTCAAGTGCTCAAATTAAGTGGGTGGTGCTGGAGGGTCCTCAGATGCCCCCAAACATCTTATGCAAATGCCAAGATTCCTCTTTCCTTAGCTTCTCACCTTTTCTCCCTTTTGTACCTATTTGTTACTCAAATACACTTCACTAGAAAAAAATAAATTTAAATTTATAATACATTCTGAGAAAATGTAATTTAGCTTTTAAATGGTGCTTTCAAAAATGGAAAGAATATGAACAAGCATTCTTGCAAAGGAGAATTGGGGCTGTTTTCACTACAATATGATTTTAAAGTGTATTTCTCAAGGCCTATGTCCAATCTTACAAGAGTGGTATGTGTATAATACTAATCACCGTTGACAATTTTCCTTTGCCTTTCCAAAACCTTAAGTCTGGGAAGGTCATTATCTCCAATGACTTTTTAAGTCGTTTGTGACTAGGTTTAACTATTACAAAAGAAATTCTTTTCTCTCCTGGCTGTTCAAGAGATCTTCTCGTTTTCAACAAATTAGTATTTTACACATTGTTATTTTATTTTGAAATTTGTTTGTCACTTTAATGAAATTAACTTTCTTTTTGTCACCTAGTAGTTAAAAGTGCGCCTAGGTCTCATTTACCATTATAAATATCAAAGAAAAATTAAGATGTCACTAAAGAGAATTAAACTATAAATAACTTCTATATGATGAGAAATTTCTTTTGTACTTTAATTTTTAAACAATGAGGGTATAAATTAGTAAATGTAGTACGCCATCTCTAGTTTTACGATAATTAGCATGGATCACAACGAGGCCATCATTATCCAATCAGATATGTTATGTCTGAAAGCTGGGTGCTGATCCTGCATTGTCTCTCATTGCTCCCTTTGTCTGAAAGCTGGGTGCTGATCCTGCATTGTCTCTCATTGCTCCCTTTGTCTGAAAGCTGGGTGCTGATCCTGCGCTCTCCCTCACTGCTCCCTAGCATGGCCTCCTCTATATCTGCTTCATTCCTTTCAAAGCCCTCAGAGAATGGGTGCCGAGTATTTCCACTCCAAAATGTTCTCTGTGGCTTCAGACTAGGTGCCCTTAGACACTCCTACAGGAGTGACTTCCTAAGGGGTATTATGAACTGCACTGAAAATAAAAATATAAAAAGCCAATAAATGAAGTTGTAATTAAGGTATTAGGAATGGAGTACGCTATTGGCTAGGAACTTTAAACCAGGGTTTAGGAAAACAAACAAGAGAATGAATGTTGGCATAATCCTCTCTATTCACAAACTCGAGAAAGCTGACCTTCCTTTAGCAAGGTGATTTAGTTCAAAATCCATGGCACCTTTTCACTCTTTCCTTTCAGAAACAGAAAGAGTGGGCTATTATAAAAGAGTCAAATATAGGTGGAAGCTATGAACTAGCAAAATGTCCTCCAATGGAATATTTTCTAAATGTATAAACTGGTTGTATCTCTACACCCTTCCAACCTTTAGTGTGCTGGAAGGAAATCAAGTGAAATACAAGGCACAACATTTCAAAACATCACAGCTATTGCTCCGAGCAAATTCCCCAGTTTCTGGAATGCAGAAAGATGGGTTCACTCATAAGTCAAAAGGGTTTCTATGTAAAATCTACAGAAAGAGAGGAGAGAACAAATCCTCTTTTAGGTACTATTAGTTAAGGGAGGATGCTTGAAAGACCATATGGATTTATTATTTTTTCTTTCTGTCATATTGTTTGTGATTGTTAATATAAAAAGATGAATGCTGAGATTATCAATGTATGAGCATTTAAACAGTAGAGATGTTTGTTTGAAGCACCACTTAATTTAAAATTACTATTTCAGGTGAAGGGAGTTTACTGCAGCTTTACAAACACAAAAATGTGCCTGCTCACTGGAGAACTGGAGAATGTTATATGTCTCAGAGGAACCCAGTACTACAGATACCCTCATTTTTCATAGGATGCCCAAAAATGCCCTTCAGCTAGATTTACATTCTGCCTAGAAGTACTTTGACTTTCTCCAGTTTAACCCAAGGGTCACTTTCCATAGATAAAACATGGCCTATGACTGATTGAATGGTGGAGATAAACGCTACACCTTGGGGTGAGTACTTAGGAACTGAAGGAAAAGGCTTTCAGGAACCTATTTGTTAAGTCAAAGTATGCAATGACTCTGTCTCTCCCTGATCCTGAGCTATTGTGTTTATCTCCTGCCTGTCCAAATCCTAGTGAATCCAGACTCACACTTTTGGCTTCTGTGTCCTCATTGGCCACGGGAACTCACACTCAGGTCAGTCTTTTTCAGTTCAAATGAGCACGTTCGCTGTAAGTTCTTATACTGCATTATACATTTCTAGAGCTTGCTTCTGCTTTTAATGAAATTGAGAGCTCGTATGTGCAATCTTCAACATCCGTGACCTAAGAAACACTTCTAGGATATGGTGAACTATGGTAGTTACCAGGACAGATGATTAGAAAATCAAGCTTTGGGTTTTAATACGTAAGCGTTGTGGCTCTTCCTGCAAGTCATTTACCTTTCCTGAGCCTTAATTTCTTTGTTTAAAACATAAAGATGGTAAATTACTCTCTGAACTGTGACGGCCATTGGACACCTTTAGGATAATGCTAAGCACAAAAGACTTGGAAAGGTTAATACTGTTTTTATCATGATGATATTTTGTTAGTTTATTATTGCCTACAGAGTGTAACACAGACCCTAAGATGTATTTTATACATCTATATAAGATATTATATATATCTTCAGATAGTAATAATTCACTTTCTGAGAGGCAATCTCCCTCACGCCAATGTATGGATCTATTCTGTTCATGGAAAACTGCATGCACTTGTTATATTGTAGCAATTCTGAACCCCCTTGGGGCTGCTTGTCCCCCCCCTCTCCCCTCCCCCTCTCTCACACACATGCACAGATATATTGGGAAACAGATACAATACTTTGAAGACAAGCATTGATGACTTAGTACAAAGTAGTGACTTTCTCACTATTGAGAGAAAAATAAATATAAAGTAAAAATAATTCAATGAAGTTTATATGATTACGTTTTTGATAGAACACAATGAACAACAGCACTGCTTCTTAGTAGTGATTGCTGTGCCTAAATAACTTGCAAGTTCATAATTGTCCCACTTTAGGTCTTACGAGTATGCGTCGCCTCATTGCCACCTTGCAACAAGGGGGAAACTTATGCTCCAATATCCAGAAAACAAAACTTGTGGTGACTGAATCGATTTTTAAAATTCTAGCTCTAATGGAATATAAAATTGAAATTCAAAGCCCTTCTGGTCTTTCCCCACGAACCGCAAGCTTATGAAAATTTATAGCAGACACTGACAGCTGAGAAAGGAGGCTGAAATTGTTCTCCTCAGCTCTGATTTTCCCCAGGTAAATATCACGTCGACTTACCAGATCACAAAGGACACAGCTTTCCCGCCTTTGGGACACAGTTAAAATACAGCAACAGAATTGTTTCATTGTGCAGCCTCATTTTGTTCTCCATGTTGACGTTACTGTGCATGCCATTTCCTTTCCTCTCACAGACTATTTCCTTTTTCTTTTCTTTCCCTTTAACTCTCCAACAAACCACCACAGTACGCAAAATGCCCCCAGACAGTTGGCTCAAAACTATTAGCCCTTGGTATAACTTTAGACCAAAATCTCTTTTTGTTGGATGTCCTCTCACAGCATATACAAACCTCTCCAGGAAAATGCCTACTGTGGGAAGCAGAGTTTAATTCCTCAGTGAGGTGTATGAGCTACCCTTTACCCCATTCTGTATAAACAACACAAGACTGAATTTAAGGTTGTGCCATTCACTCTGGGAACATCAGATCTTCAGTAAAGGAGCTCTCAGTCCAGATCTGCAAAGATGAGATTGTGAGTTCAGAAGGGTGCCATGAAATGGATATTTACCTCTTTGAGACAGCCCATAAAGTTGTTACTGACTGGTGACCCTGGAAGGTCGGCTGTGCTGGGACTGCCACCCACATAGAAAAAGTCATCAGACCCCAGCATGGTGTAATCTTCTTGCGTGTAGCCCGTTGTGGTAAGAATCCCATCCACTGATATTGTCACCTAGATAACAAAGCACAGGGAAAGGACACGCTATACTCAGACCTAGATGCTGCAATCCTGGGGTATGCCTGTTTGTGTTTTGTTTATTTTATTTTTTTTTTGTTTTGCTTTTTTTTTGTTTTGTTTTGTTTTGCTTTTTTTTTTTTTCTGTTTGTTTGGTTTTCAGTTTTAGCCCTATGGCGGAACCCATTTTCATGTCTGTTTGAGGTTTATTCTTGGATTCTATTCAGCTAGCCCTGAGAGGTCTAAACTAGTTAGAGCGTTAACTGATCAGTGAACTAGTGCCAGCATCATCCCTGCTGCAACTCAAAAGTTATTGAGCAGACACAAAAATGGTGTTAGTAAAATGCCTCCTAGGTTAGTTTTGCTGGTGTACGTATTAGTAAGTTTAGTCATCTGTTATTCACTAATCACAACGTGCACCTTGGTAACAGAAAAGGCGCAGGCTACTTGAGCAACGTCACTGTTTGCACTACTGAGCAGCGATTGTTGGGCATGCAAGTGCCTGAGGCATGCTGAGGGAAGACGAGGCGGCAAAACAACCAGTGGAGCAGCACTCGCGATGCGCATGCGGGAGGTACAGAACGTTCAGAAAGGAAAGGAAAGAAGACGGGGGGAGAACCAAAGGAGAAAGATAACTGCTTAGTGATGACGTAAAGATGAGTGGGTGTGGCATCTCCAACATTCCCAAACCAAGTTTCCATGCCATGCATCATGAATGGTTAGAGACTGGCTGAGCCTGCGGTCACTCGGGCCAGCCACCATTTTCTTATCTCGTGTTAACCACAGCTGGATGCAAAAAAACGTTCGAAACGTTAACGATGCCCCTACAG